GTGTGTGTGTGTGTTGTCTTTTTTAAACAAAAACAAAAAAAAAAGAAAAAGAAATTAGGCATGTACAAGTAAAATTTCTCCCATTACGTACTGTATATGTCCTGTTTTTTTTTAAATCTAGCAATGATTATCCTTTGCATATTGCGTGCATATTGGTTGCGATTACAGAAAACATTCACCGATAAGTATTAGTGTAGAGAATTTCTATTGAAGCCTGACTACCGACTCCGGCTGACCTTATGTGCACTTATGTGCAACATACATAGATTATAAAAAATAATAATATATTATGTGGGTATATTGAGGTCTGTAGGTATGCGGTCGGCTTGAACAAGCGCAGTTATTAACATGTGACAGCACAATGATACCATGTACCGTAATTATTGCGACAGACGGTACGATGGATTCATTGCAACAAGGAATCACTATATTTTTATTAAGAATTAATAATGTAAAATCGAGGATCAATCACAGAAACTTCACGTAAGCTTTAAGGGGGTAAATGACTCCTAAGTATTTAATGATAACACTAACGCCCAAAGTTTATTTATTTTTAAAGAAGTTAGTAAAAAATACACTCAATGCGAGCGCCATTTTTGTTTAATTTTATAGTATCGTAGTGATATCAAGTGTTCGATAAATTTTATGAGTTTTAAGATGTTTGTCTATGTTTGAAGGGGTATGAAGAAACTTAACTGAGCGTGTTGTAATATATATGTACATATTGACTTAGTTATAAAATACCATTACTATAATGTTTCAGTGCAGTAACAATTGTAGTATTTAACATAAATATTATTAAAACAAGTAACGGAAAATAAACTGTTGCATTGGACAGCTAAAATAGTAAGTTTAAGTGGAACAGTAAAAGCGTTATTTGAAAATTGAAAAACTTACAATTTCATTTTTAACATATTGGAAAAAAATTTTTATAGAAAGTATATCAAGCTTTCACGATAAGACATCGTTTTCACGTTCTTTTATAACAATATATCGGGCATAAATTATTCGTTACCTCATGTTTCTTAAGTTAAAAAACTAATTAATTGCGATTGACAAGCGATTGATAGACAAAGCGACCATTAAAACATGTAATAAATGTGACAGAATGGCGGACACATCTGGTCATAGATAAATAATGTACGGCTAACCTAAAAGGCATTGTCCTACTTGGTTTTTTTTTCCAACAGGCTTACCGCTTTGTATACCTGTACGTGACAGCCATTTTCTTTTTGTTATCTGTTCCTTTTTAGTGCTGTGGTTATTTAAATATTATGATTTTTTTTCTTTTGACTAGTGTATTTATAAGATCCAGTTGATATTAGCGAAAATCTCGATTACTTTTAATCATGCATTAGACACAGATTACAGAGAATTTTATTTAAGATTTCATAATTTTTTGCGGTAGTAAAATAGTAAGCAGGTAAGTACTTATAACTAAAAAGTTGCTTTAACAGCTTTAGTTTAATATAATTAGTATATAGTAGTAGGTGTCATGTCAAAGGTTTCTAAGGTTTGCCTTATAACTTGTTATTTTTAAAATATGGAAATCTGTCTTACTTTAAATACTAGATTCACAATTTTCGGAATAATACACACATTCGCAAAACTACTTCCAACTGTTATGTTTAATAATGAATTTAAAGGCGTTGAACTATTCAAAACACATATTACAGAAATATTTTTTATTTTAGGTTACTGATTTTAACGGTGCCTGTAATTAAATCTTCTGAGCAAACTCATTACGGTCATCAAACGGGTAGCTAAAAGTTAATACAAGTAAAAAATAAATTTGATTTCGAATACGATACGCTAGTCATATTTCCAATTTCTGAAAAGCATATTTCTGTTTATTAAATAAATTTTAAAATTTAAAAACCTAAATCGAGAAAATCGTCTATAAATATCATCAATGTTAATCATCTGCATCAACGTTTTTTTTGAGATACCTATTCGAAGTTTAAAATACCGTCATATGACAGTTCTTTATAATTCAAAAAGATATCCTACGTTAATTCGTTATTAAATGATTCTAAATTTAAAATACCGTTTGTTACTTTCTAATGAAGTTCGCAATTCGAAATGTGACTATAAATGCGATTTACATTATTAGCTCGAAAATTCACTCATGACCGTACCACACGCTTGCGTATACCTATCTAGTACCTACCTAAGTGCATATCTACCGAAACTACCTATTTTAAGACCCTATGCTCACATTAGAAATATCTATCTATATCTGTTAGATAAGGAAGTTTTTCAACCTGGTCGAAACGTATCTAACAGTTATTTTTAAATTAATTAATTTTTTGCTAACTGACATGAATGGAAAGTTAATATCTACACAAAACCTAATCTTTTATAACTTTTTTAGCAAATTGTTTATAGCTTTATGTCTTAATGTACGCAGAATTTATAAGGATTCAAAGAAATATGATCTTACTACACGGATCATATCGCATATCAAAACTCGTCAATGCCATAAAACTCTACATTTTAAAAAAGGAATTCTAAATGTTTTTCTAAGTCAAATTTGTGAAGTCTACGAATTTTCGTTATATTTACATGGTTTTATTTAATTCCCGCATCTTGTCCCAATCTATTTATCTTTTACTAGGTATTAAATCCAAGTATTTATCTGGTATTAGGTAGGTAAATATTTTAGTAACAATATTGACGCTAGTATCCAAAATCAGTTTTTAAATTTAGAAGTTGAAAGCGTCATGTATTTTGGCGCTAAATTTGTGAAGTCTGTGATTGACAGTTAGACGAGCGGGAATTGTACCTAGCAGAAAACGTATCAACCGTTAGCTTCCAAGTCTTTAATTAAAAAGAAAGCCCTAAAAATACAGTGGAAATTTCCAATCCTTTTCGTTTTTATATTGTAGGTATTTTGTTTGATTGTATTGGATTGTTTTTTAATTTTATATTACATTTTGTAGGTATTATTTTATCTGTGACGTATGTCACATCCATTTTATAATATACTTAGTAGGTACTGACGTACCAGAAACGTTGGAATTGAAAGCTTGAGGAAAAATATAGCAATTTTTTTTAAACCAAAAAAGTAAAGCTAACCATTAAAATTTGCATTTTATTATTGATCATTCTTTCCGAATGTAAATTTAATAGCTTTGATATTTTATGCTTCGACTATATTATAAATACCTAAGTATAAAATTTAATTACTTTTTGTCGTATCGGAAATACCTTAACAGAAATTTAAATTACCAGAGTATTAGATACAAATAAACATTTAGGTAAGTAAACCTACTTATTTAAGTCATGTTTTAATTATGTAGGTATAGGTACCTACCTACATAAGTCACAATTTATGTGATAGCAAAGAAGAACAGTATTCAATGAAATGGAAAAATTGACTGATACTTTCTTATAAGGTATTTAATTTTAATAGAATTTTTGTTAGATTAAATTTTGCAACTTTAAAGAATTAATATATTAAAAAATAAATAATAATCTAACAAATTTAACTATTCAAAACGACAAAATACCGACCTCATTCTATACTTCTTAGACTTTAATCAATATTCCAAAGAACGAAATAGGTATTCAAAGAAAAACTAATTGATTTTAAAATAAAAAATCAACTACCACAGCGACATTATAAACGATAATTTAAATATCAACCAACAGGCTAAAGAGATTTTATCTCAATTAACTCTTCAAATCTTTACTTATAATAATAGTCATAATAAATAGTTATTATATCGTTCAATAGCCTCTTTATCGCTTGTCATAATAATATGTCAAAAAACCTAAATTAAAAAAATCTGACCAAAATTTATGATAAGGTCATATATTCCTACCTATCCATGACTTGGCTTCAAACACATAATTTAGTAAAAAGTCTCAAAAAACCATAGATAAAGTTTTTTTAAATCATCTATGGTAGCTTTCGAACAAATAAAACTGTACTTAGCAAGCATTTCGTAAACAACTAGACACGTCAACCTTTTCATCCGTTAGGCCTATATTTCGCGAAAGATTAATCCACTTTTATAACTAAAATAATTCTCTCACAGCATTTCTATGTACAAACAAATATTTCCCGTTTATATTAATAAATAATTTACGATAGATATATTTTAATTACACATAATATGAAATAACATCACTATGAGTGTCAGTGATTGTACTCAGGTACACACCGTCAGATACAGTTTACTTTACAACTAAACGAATGCAATATCTACATTTTTAATTACATTTTACAATTAAAAGCCGTCGACATGATAAATAAAATCTATATTTATTGGTAAAAATAGTAGCGTTTATAAATACTAAGCCATGTTTCGGAATATCCAAATAAAAGTGGCTTAGAATATTTGCAAACAATTTTCGCGACTCCTTTTTCAAATTTAAAACTTTTTCTAATTTAGTTTAGTTTAGTGGTTTTTTTTTCAATACGGAAGATGAAACACGATTGACATTTTGTTTAGAAATGTCAATTCACATCAATTTTCCAAACTATACCTACCTATATTATAATGTGTGTTTATATTTAGGTAGGTATACCAATCAGTCTAAAATCTAAAAATATTAAATCATTTTAAAATAACTATTTAAAATGTAATTCTAATCTCATCAATTTATTTGATAAACTGAAAGAGCATTTGCACTAAATCTATTTTTTACTTTATATTCTCAAAAAATAAACTTGGATATTCCGAACAAAGGCATGGGTTTAGTAAATGCTTCTCACGAATTGAACGCTCGAAGTGTTCAAATAAATAATGTAAGGAGGAGTATAACACGAAATAATACGCAAAATGAACCCTGTTGCACCTTCAGAGCGAGTGACAGTCACCGTACATACCTGAGACACACCGCCGCGGAGCACTCAACACTTTGAACGATACTAAACGCCCTAAGAAACTGGTTTACAACGCATCACTTACATCACGGCCTCTGCGCTTTAACTACGATAAGATAACTGTGTCTATAGTCAGTCACTGAGCGTCCTGTCGCACTGCACGCTGCTATTCTTCGTCCACGTTGATCTCCGAATCGGCCGAGTCCTCGTCGTACGTGGAGGATGAAGCGAACCCTTGGCCCAGCAATGCGGAGCGGTTCTTGGCGGCGGCCGCGCGGTCCCGCTGCCGCCGGTTCTTGAACCAGTTGCCGACTTGCGTCGGTGTCAACCCTGTCGCCGCCGCCAATTCACGTTTCTTAGTAGGGTTCGGGTAGGGATCCTGAAGGTACCACTCGCGGAGCAACGAACGCGTGCGCTCCTTGAAGCAGTGGGTCTTCTGCTCGCCGTCCCAGATGGTGCGAGGCAACGGGAACTTCTTGCGCACACGGTACTTATCTACGGGGCCCAGGGGCCTGCCGCGGAGCCTCTCCGCCTCCTGGTAATGAGCTTCCAGCCAAAGGGCTTGAAGTTTCGCGTGGCTCGATCGCTGGAATCGATGTCTCTCTAGGATCGAGTAGAGCTCACGGTGGCGGCCGGCGTGGAAAGCGACGACGGCACGCGCTCGCAGCACGGCTTCGCAACGTTCCAACTCAGCTACGTTAGGGTGAGCCACCGGTAAAGACCACAGAAATCGCGCCAAGCGCTCTACATCGCCACTTTCTTCGAGAGTTTCGCATACGGTTGCCACTTGGGCAGCGCTGAAGCTGAGGGTGGGTAGAGGCAGTAGCGGCGTCGGCGCCGCCAGCTCGACGGCAGGTGCAGGTGGCGGGTCGGCGCAGGCGGCGGGCTCGGCGGCGCGATCGGGCGCGGGCCCGCGGTGCGCCTCCAGGATGCGCGCGTGCAGCGCCGCCGTGGCGGCCTCGTCCCACGAGCCGCGCATCGGAGCGAGTGTGCGCGCTCCGGCGCGCGCCCCGACTCGCGCCCGCACCCGCCGCAGGGGGCGGGCCGCGTCGGAGCCGATTGGCTATCGCTTACGGTGCGAGAAGCCCGGCAGCCAATCGCGTACGGCGCGCCCGGGGGGCCGGATAGCTTTCAACCGCGGCTCGGCGCGTATCCGGCGGGCGCGTTTAACGAGGGCGGCGGGGCGCGGCCCCCCGCGCCGCCATGATCCGTCACGCACACCGCGCCCCTCCCCGCCGGCCCGCTGGCCCCGCCGCCACCTCCTCTATCGATTACCTGCAAACCTGCAATTAATAGCCTCCATACAACAATCCGGGTGGATTACATGTTAGTGTTTGTCCCGTGTGTCGCGCCTCATTGATAAAATAATTATTTAGCTGGTAATTTGCATACTAAGCACAGCATCAGACACCGGACGGACAGCTCGGTGTGTAGCGGCGGGACATTGGATATAACAATGGCTATTATATGTATTAGACCTGTCACACTTTGAAATATCATTTTGTTGGTCATTTTGTTAATGATACAAAAAATTCGAATATATACATACTTCGTGTTTTTGTTTCATTAAAAGTATGGTAGGTATACGAATCATTCTACACGTCTAATTATAATTCAATCTAAAACTATTCGTACCTACCTCTGTATAAGATAGACGCAGGCATAAATTGGAAACAACTCGGGTATAACGTTATTCAAAGTGCCAAGATCGGTTGGTCGTGTTATAGTCGAGCGAGATTTCAGCGTGAAAGCCTCCCGAGAGTATTAAGTTATTGAACGGCAAACCACACCCTGTAACGGTACACAGGTGGCACCCCACGCCCACTCCCAGCAGTGGGGTGAGAGCCCACGGCGCGACGTTACGTATTGTCATAGTGTACGTTTTTATCTCCGACTATTAATAATTGTAGAGTTGTATTTTATCCTTGTCTTGCTGAAGGATTACGTTTAGGTATGTTCACGCTTCTTGTTTTGTTAATGCCTGAGCTGATGCTATACTAGTGATGTACCTACTAGTGTTGTATCTACCTATGACATACCTAATACTGATCTCCGGTTGATTGTATTAGGATTAGGTAAAACAGAAAGTGCAACACACAACGGTTTTTGTAAAGGCACTAAATATTCTGTAGTTCACACACATTAGGAAGTCATCTACAAGCCGTAGGTGGTCCGGGGTCCGTCGGGGTACCAAGGAATTCCATTCTAGGTTACACCTGGTTCCCCGGAGGCGCGAATTACAGTTAGGATCAGAACACAGTTGTGGTTTCATTTGCTCTGAACCCTTCTAATAACTGCAATTCATGATCTCGTGATTGTATCAGCAAACACCTGGTTCCCTGGCTACTAGTTATTTGAAATTTCGTGCGTTTTTTAGTCGGTTCGGGTCCGACATAATCACCCACGGCCCTCCGAGTATCCGTATCCGTAAGAATATCCGAGTATCCGAGGGAATTTCTGCACTGAAAAAAGGACTAAATATTCTAAGTAGGTATGGGTACTCTTTTTTATACACTTAAATACAATGTCTGCCAATTAGATGTGGCTTTCAATTATCCCTATTTTATTTGAAGTGAACAACAAACAAGCGTGTACGTATTTTATGGTTTAACAAAAAACCACGTTTTTTAAAAACAATTAAACTCGCGACACTGTTACCGTTACCGACACCTCCGGCAGTGCGTTCAATTCTCATACAAAACAAATACTGTGTGATAGGAATGATCATATGTTCAATGTAGGTATGGGTGTAATTTCTCTATATTATATAGGTATTTAGAAATATATAAGTAGGTATGTTTATTTAAAAATACCTATAGATATCTGCCTATGACAGCGGACTAAAATTTATAATACGCAAAATGTGAGCATTTAATACGCTTCTGTCTGACTTAGATAAGGCACTGCACGGATGCGTAGTGTTTTAAGCACACACCACACCGCTTCCGGAGTGTTGTGGGTTCGATCTCCGCATGGGAAAACAGTTTGTGTGATCTAAAAATTGTTGTTCTGAGTCTGAGTGTTCTTTGTGTCCGTTTCATGTATGTTTGTAAAGTCCCCCGCGACACAGGATATATTCCTAATGCGGGATTTGTTTAAAAAAAATTGTATATGTGTTGTTACAAGATATCTAAAGAAAAGTCACATCCCTCAAGCAATTTAAAATAATGAATAAAACATGAAATGAAACACTGCTTTATTTTTTTTTTATCATAAACACAATTCTTATAGAAAACCTAAACAAATTTAACACACAATCATTTAATTTTAAAATAACTAAAATAGAAGTAAAAACGAAAATAATCTTAAGATTTTATCATGGACAATAGTTTATTTTTTAATGTTGGCTATGTTTTTTTTTGTAATAGGTAAGTTCAGTACCGCCGACACCGATACGGAATGTCCTTTCGCTCCTTAAAAAAGAACCTGCCGTGGAGTTTGGGCTCACAGGGTTAGTTTTGAAGAGTGCAATAGAATTATAGAAAGTGGAATAGTAGCTCTGCCAGGGATCCTGGCTATTCTTATTTTAGACGCAGTGTGGCAGATTTGACAGAACTCATGTCGTTGCCCTACCTCAGAAGCTTCTGAGCTTCTGATTATCGGTCATCGGGTAGTCACCCTAGGCTTCTACACGCACAAGGAGGAGGATAGTGGAACTTTCTTCTTCTTTTTTCTTCTTCTACTAAAAGCTTTACTAGCGTTTCCTTTTGTTTTAAATGTTAATAGTCTTTACTAAAGTTTAGGTTTCTATACAAGTAGGTAAGTGTGTATAAATCTATGTTTCTTATTAAAATCAGGTGCGCATACGCACAGACGGCAGGTGGGCTCGCTAATGTATCCTCCACACGATCTCGCGTTAATGAGATCGTGACTCTCGCTCGCTTATCAGCCGCTAGTGATAAGAGCCTTGTACCTAATTTAAATCTGACCGTTTGCTAGGTTGCTACCTTAGTGGTATAATAATACGGATACCTTATATGTAGGTATATGTACAGAATTTGAATATTTTATAACGCAGATTTAGTTTTATACGAATAACTCAAATTAATGTAGGTACCTAATAGTTACAACTAATACCTACGACTAACAGCCCACTGATGTTAAGCGGTTACCGTCACCTACAATAACTTCTAAACAGCCGCAACTCTTAGATAAGCTCCAGCCTTCACCAGTTTAATTAAGACTGAAATAGTTCTGATTCAAGCAGAAATCTGATGTGCTTATGATATGAATTCATCCGTAATAATGGCGCTTGCAACAGCGAATGACGTGAAAAAATATTATACTTACATACCTATATCCGTGTGGTGACAGATTAAGAATACAGAGTGTCACCACCCCTGTTAATCCCGTGGGTGCCGTAAGAGCCGACTAAGGGAGCAAACTACGCAGGACAACAGCACTGCAAAGAGAAGGAAAACTTGACAAAAACCAACCATGGTATAGTAGGCCAAAACTTCCTTTCTAAGGAGAGGCCTATGTCCAGCAGTGGACTATTAAAGGCTATTAAGAATGATACTTATAATTTTATAAAATACTAGTTGAGACCCGCGGTCTAAAAGTCTAAAAAAAGTAGCCTAAGTTGCTCCTTATGTCATCAGCTATCTGCCAGTGAAAGTCCCGTCGACATGGGTCCAGCCGTTCCAGAGATTACCCGGAACAAACAGACAGACAGACAGACAGACAAAAAATTGTAAAAAATGATATTTTGCATATGTACCCTGTAAACATACATTTGCATTTAGTAAAAAGCGGTTATTTTAATATTACAAACACACACTCCAACTTTATTTATTTGTATAGATAGCATTGGACCTATAATAATATATACCTAATAATAACAATAATAGATATAATACATACCAGCATAAATAAGAGCTTTCTTTAAAAATGTTTTTTTTTAATAAAGAAACTCATTCGTTACTGACCATAGATACATACATGGAGAACTGACAGTTAATTTTTAAGCTTTTTGGCGGGCAATTTTGAATGAAAGTTTAGATTTTAAGCAATTTTGTTTTCTTTTTTTCATTAACATTTTTACATTTTTATTAACAGAACATTTTTATTAATTGGTATTGGTATTTGGTATTAATATAACGGCCTAGCTATAAAATAAAAGTAATTCCAAAATGTCTACATATTCACTGAGCTGGTTGCCGAGTCAGTGTTTTTTAATCCTGTACCTACTCAGAATATTCACAAACTCAAAAGTTATTTATGAAACTTTTGACTTGAATTCAGAGTTGACGTAGAACTTATTGTCTAACACGGTTTATTTATATTCTGCACCCTCTTTTTGTTCTCTTTTTGTTATTAGGTTATATCTCAGAAGCCTGTTTTCTTTGATATTATTATTAAGCAACAATAAAAATATAATTAGGCATTTAATGTTCATTCTTCTGAGTAACTGAACCAGCATAGTATTTTTTTTAAAGACAACTGCGATAGGAATATATCCCGTGTCGCGAGGGACTTTACAAACATTCATGATACGGACACAAAGAACACCCAGACTCAGAACAACAATTTGTGGAACACACAAAGTGTCGTCCTATGTGGGGATCGGACCCACAACACTTAGCGTAGTAGTGAGCGGCGTGGCGACCGCTTAAACCACTACGCCATCCGTGCAGTCAGCATAGTTCTTAATCACATTGATTTTAGTCTGAATAATAGGAAGTTTAAGATTTAAAGCACCCTCCCACTTTGTACCTACAGATGGCCACGTGACCTATGCAAATTTAAAAAAATGTAAGACCTTAACATACAAACAAATTTGAAAAAGTACGTTCTTAAAAATATTTCACAATAAAGCAGAAATCATCTTTCTTACTGTTTTATATTGACTGCACGGATTGCGTAGTGGTTTAAGCGGTCGCCACGCCGCTTCCTACTACGCTGAGTGTTGTGGATTCGATCTACACATGGGACGACATTGTGTGATCCACAAATTGTTGTTCTGAGTCTGGGTGTTCTTTCTGTCCGTTTCATGTATGTTTGTAAACAACACAGGATAAATTCTTAATGTCTTTAAAAAATAAATATATATATAAGTATATATTAAAAACATTTTTGGTTCTTTGGTTAGCTCACAACCAAGTAAAAAGCAACCTAATTTCATTAACCAATCCACTCAAATCACTTTAACGCAATATACATACTTACAACTCTATTCCATTACATTTTCAACAATAAATTTCCCCGATAAAAACGATTTCATCAAGTTGTATCTATTGGTAGGTGGGTTCGCGACCCGCAGGTACAGGCGGGTCGCGATAAATCATAGAAATCGAGGACACTGTTGTGGCAATCACGAGATGCGCTCTAAGGTGACAATGTCTCGCGATTTCAAATACAGGACAGTCCGGATACTTGTTACTCTGACTAAAATATATCACTAGTAAGTTTTATATGCTTTTTTCATCAAGTAACTTTGCTTTTTACTTTATAGTGTTACCGTGGGAGTGCCATGCTTCGGCACGAATATATACCACGGCCTCACAGAAAACCGGTGTTAAGCAATTCTTTCGTTGCCTTTCACTGAGTGAGTGAGGTTACCGGAGCCTAAAATCCCCCTCCCGCTGACTCGAGCGGCAGGGACTCCAAGGGTGGCAACAGGTGGCAACTGAACTTGAGTTGCAGGTGTCCATGGGCCACGGTAGTTGCTTACCATCAGCTGACCCGTCTGCTGGTTTGCCCCCTTACACCATAAAAAAAAATAGTCGCCAAAACTAGTAGGGTCAAATTAGTATGAACATGGTTATTAAAAGACTAAACACAAAGTAAAAAGTTTGTCAGTTAGTAAGAGTTTATTTTTGTGAAGTAGAATTATTTAATTTATACGTTCTCTATTAATTTAGATATGCCTCA